GGAGATGCTGTCCTAAACAAACAAACAAAAACATTGTTCAAAGGTAATATCTTACCTTTTACCAGGTGCAGAACTGGTTTAGATGGTCTCAAGGATGTTTCCTCCTCAGTGATTAATAATGAGTTACCAGCAAATGGCCTCTGAGATTCCAGAAGAGTTCCAAAAGTGCTTAGAGCAGTGGTGTATTGAAGGGATAAGTTTAAGTGAATACTTTTTTTTTTTTCAACTTTTAAGTTCCAGGGTACGTGTACAGGATGTGCAGGTTTGTTACATAGGTAAATGTGTGCCATGGTGGTTTGCTGCACACATCAAACTATCACCTGGGTATGAAGCCCAGCATCCATTAGCTTTCTTCCTGATGCTCTCCGTCCCCTTGCACCTTTCCAACAGGCCCCAGTGTGGTGTTACCCACTATGTGTCCATGTGTTCTCATCATTCAGCTCCCTCTTGTAAGTGAGAACATGCGGTGTTTGGTTTTCTGTTTCTGCATTAGTTTGCTGAGGATAATGACTTCTAGCTCCATCCATGTTCCTGCAAATGACATGATCTTGTTCATTTTATGGCTGCATAGTATTCCATAGTGTATATATACCACATTTTCTTTATTCAGTCTATCATTGATGGGGATACAGGTTGATTCTACGTCTTTGCTATTGTGAATAGTACTGCAGTGAACATATGTGTGCGTGTATATTTATAATATGATTTATATTCCTTTGGGTGTATACCCAGTAATGGGATTGCTGGGTCAAATGGTATTTCTGCTTCTAGATCTTTGAGGAATCACAACACTGTCTTTTACAATGGTTGAGTGTAAAGCATTTCTTTTTCTCCACAACCTTGCCAGCATCTGTTGTTTCTTGACTTCTTAATAATCACCATTCTGACTGGTGTGAGATAGTATCTTATTGTGGTTTTGATTTGCATTTCTCTAATGATCAGTGATGTGGAGCTTTTTTTCATGTTTGTTGGCACATGAATGTTTTATTTTGATAAGTGTCTATTCATGTCCTTTGCCTACTTTTTAATGGGGTCGTTTGTTTTTTCTTGTCAATTTGTTTTGCATATTGTGGATTTTGCATATTAGACCTTTGTCAGATGGATATATTGCAGAAATTTTCTCCCATTCTGTAGGTTGTCTGTTCACTCTGATGATAGTTTTTGTTGTGCAGAAACTCTTTAGCTTAAATAGATTCCATTTGTCAATTTTTGCTTTTGTTGCAGTTGCTCTTGGCATTTTCATCATGAAATCGTTGCTCATGTCTGTGTCCTGAATTGTATTGCTTAGATTTTCTTACAGGGTTTTTATAATTTTAGGTTTTACGTTTAAGTCTAATTCATCTTGAGTTAATTTTTGTATAAGGAAGGGGTCCAGTTTCAGTTTTCTGCATATGGCTAGCCAGTTCTCCCAGAACCATTTATTAAATAGGGAGTTCTTTCATTGCTTGTTTTTGTCAGATTTATCAAAGATCAGATGCTTGTAGGTGTGCAGTCTTATTTCTGAGTTCTCTATTCTGTTCCATTGATCCATGTGTATGTCCTTGTACCAGTACCATCCTGTATTGGTTACTGTAACCTTGTAGTATAGGTTGAAGTTGGGTAGCATGATGCCTCTAGCTTTGTTCTTTTTGCTGAGGGTTGTCTTGGCTATTTGGGCTCTTTCTCATTTTTTTCTAATTCTGTGAAGATTGTCAATGGTAGTTTTGTTACAGGATAAGGATCCTGTGATAAGGGTTTTCGCTTTGCCAGCCGGAAACCTCTATGGCTGGTAGCACCTTTGCCTGAGTTTTGCTCAGGCCTATTGTGCTTGCTTTGTCCACTCGACCCGGCAGGCTATGCTCAGCTTGTGCTACTGGCCTGGATCCCACGCCTGCCAAGGGCTAGCCAGGTGCAGGGTGGCGATGAGTGTGTGAGCAAGCACAGGGTCCGGCCACTGCGCACAGCCAGGAATGCCGGCTGCAGTGGGGTGGGCAGCTCTGGGTACTTGCATAGGCGCCTGCTTTGTACAAGACTGTGGCTCGACCAGACATACTGCAGGTGGCTTCCACTGCAGGCACTGTGGAATGCAATGGCACCTGGAAGCTTGGAGATACCAGGAACCATACAACCCCCAAAGAGAGTGTCACAGCTCTGGCTCACGGAGACTGTAGGTCTGGGCTCTCCGAAGGGGTGCAGCTCTTCTCTCCTTTTCGTTGCCTGCAATGTAGTGAGTGGGGTGCGTGTTTCAGCCCTGTTTGTGTTTCAGCCCTGTTTGTGTTTCAGCCCTGTTTGTGTTTCAGCCCTGTTTGTGTTTCAGCCCTGTTTGTGTTTCAGCTCTTTCAGTCCTGCCATTTGGTGGTTTCCGAGTTCTTGTTGCATGTTCAGGAAGAATGAGGTATGTAGACAACTGGAAGGTAAGCAAGGCAAAGAGGTGCTTTATTGAGAGGCAGTACAGCTCTCAGGAGAACTGAAGTTGGTAACTCCTTTCTGCTGTCAGGTCATTCTGATGAGTGCAGCTGTCGCTAGAGAGGAGACCTGGAGTGGGTAGCTCCTTTTCACAGGCAGGTCATTCTGTTGAGTCTGCAGCCCTCAGCAGAGAGGAGAAATGGAGTGGCTAGCTTCTACCTGCAGTCACGTCGTCCTGATGTCTGGGAGAGGACACCTCGAATGGGTAGCTCCTATCCACAGGCAGGTCACCCCATCATCTGCCTGAGTTTGGCTGAGTCTGGGGTTTTTATGGGCTTCAGAGGGGAGGAAATGTGTGCTGATTGGTCCTTGGGAGGCCCTAGGTAGGCCCAGAATAAAACATCGTAAATTCTCACTCCAGTCTGTGGAACAGGTAGCCCAGTCCCCAGGCTTCAGGTTGTCCTTAGCTTGAAGGTGAGGCTTCACGGGGCACCCATCCCATTTTGCCCATCTGCTCCCTGCCACCATTAACCTGCCATCTACTGTGTCCATGGCACCCAGGCTATTTGCATCATGGTGTATTTTCAGGCCTGTGCCAAGCTGTCCCCAGACCCATCTCGGCCTCCCTCCCATGCCCATTGGTGCCCAAAGTCTGGCGGGGGCTGAGGTGGTAGGGGGCTGGCATGTCAGCACTACCCCAAACACATGCACACCCAGCTGGGTTGTGACAGCTTCTGGGCTCAGGTGCAACTTTGTTCCACAATTGGAGCAGGGGTCGGGAGCAGGGAGAGGCCAGGCAGCAGGAGCAGGCACTTTTGAGCCTGTGGTGTACAGGGGGCTTTTCAGACCCCTAAGAGTGCAGGGATTCCTGGGTCCACAGCTGCAGGTGGGTGGTTGCAGCTGCACCCAGGGAGTGCGGGGCTCCCACTCAGCCAACTCAGTAGGAGGCGTGGGCTCCTACCTGCCTCCAGTCCCCAAGAGCACAGGGATGTCCAGGTCTGGACAGCTGTGCCTGGGAAGTGCGGGCCTTCCACCCTGCCAGCTCAGAAGGGGATGGGACTTTTCACCTGTTTCCTGCTCCCACCAACTCCATGGAATACACAACCCTGGCCATGTCTCCCTTGCTGCAGCTGGCGTTTTTGCAGCAGCCACTCTAGACGGGTCACTGCTGCCATCAGTTTAACGAGAATAGCATTGAATCTGTAAATTACTTTGGGCAGTATGGCCATTTTCACAAAATCAATTCTTCTATCCGTGAGCATGGAGTGTTTTTCCATTTGTGTCGTCTCTGATTTCCTTGAGCAGCGGTTTGTAGTTCTCCTTGAAGAGGTACTTCACTTCCCTTGTTAGCTGGAACACTTTCTTAAGGCGATCACTTAGAAGGATCAGACCTAGGTAGATGTACAGATTTTGGTACTTGGAACTAGTCTTTTACCTATGGTTGCACAGTATATGAGCATGTCTGCAACTGTTTGGTCAAATCAGTTAAGCCTTTCTCCCTACTTAAGGTATTGTACCATCTCTGTCTTTTTCAGTTCATTGTCCTATTTAGTGTGTCCCGTTGTTTCCTCTGCTTTTAGCTTTCCTGTTTTTTCTTTTTCAAGTCATTGATTTGGTGCCATTAATAGCAAGAGTTGATTTGAAGTTACTTATTCTAAATTCCTAGAAGTTACTTATTACTCTAAATTCCTATGCTTGTTGTTTTTATGTTGATGAATTAATCAGTCTTTCTCACTTCCTTTTTCATTTTTAATGGCCATGTCAGACTCATAAGAATTAGTTAATCTGTATGCGTTGTGGGTGTCCTTAATACTTTCCTTTTAAGCATTAGTTTAAGTTTACTAAGGCTAGGGAGGAAGATAAGGTGGGCAATAACAGATAATCAGCACCATCTGTTTGGTGGCTGTTTTGTTTCTAGCTTAAATAGTTCACCCTATTTGTTTTAGCTCTCTAGTGTTTTGATCTGTGCAGAACTAAATCTTTCGTTTATTTCATTATTTCTAAAAGGCTTTAAATGGCTTTGGCCATTTTTTCTTATATACCATGGAAATTTCATTGGGCTCTATGGCCAAAGACATTGTGCAATACACTGATTTCCTATCTTTAAAATTAAGATCTTTTCTGTTTTAAATAATAAAAAAGATTTTCTACACAATTAAGTAAAGGCAATAGATAATATAACTTCTGTAAAATATTTATAGAACCAATTTTTGTTTATGTAAAACAGGTGGTCTTTTTTTTTCCTACTTTTTACCTTTATATAATGTTCTCTCTTAATTATCATTCTTGTATTTCTCAGTGGCATTTAATATGGCAAGATAGAATAACTGTCAATGTTTTAGTTGTTGCTAAGAACAAGGAAAAGCCAGAAGTAATTTCTCATGAAGCCTTTTCCTGACATGAGTATATGTTTATAGTTGAGAATGATATCTCAGGTAAGAATTATCAGTGTATATTTTTTCCAGTGTTATAGTAAATGGAAATTAGTAATTTGACATTAATTTTTAGGGGTTTTTGTTTTTGCTGTATATATAATTTGGTTCTTGAGTATAGTTTATAGTATCTAAACCATTTTAAATTCCGTCTACTAACTGACTACTTCTATTTTTTAATAGTGAATTTATGGCAGAAGAAAGTAATGAAAAATTTTGGCAGTTTTTGGAAACTGTGCAAGAATTAGCAATTTATAAGCAAACAGGTAGGTGATGTGTAAAATTTAACTTGTAAGATTTGTATTTATGTACACATATTGTGATGTTTATTATTTTTTAATGGTAATGCTTAAGTGTGAATACTTCACTGGGTTAGTAAATCTAACATTAAATTTGAAAATATGTTTTAATAGATACCATTCTAAGCATCTGTTTCCAAATATAAGGTTTTAATACTTTATTATAAGATACCTCTTATAATTAGTCATGTTTGGGTATTGCATTCTCATCAAGAATAAATCAGAATTGTTAGCTGGGCATGGTGGTGTGCATCTGTAGTAGCAGCTACTTCGAAGGCCCAAGGCCAGTGAATTGCTTGAGCCCAGGAGTCAGAGACTAGCCTGGGCAGTATAGCAAGACCCTGTTTCTAAAAAAGAAAAATAAAAAAATAAAATAAATTGGCCAGGTGTGGTGGCTCACACCTGTAATCCCAGCATTTTGCGAGGCTGAGGCGGAGGATCACTTGAGCCCAGGAGTTTGAGCTGTGTTCGTACCACTGCACTCCAACCTGAGTGACAGAGAGAGACCTTGTCTCCCCCCGCAAAAAATTGTTAAGATACAGTTATCTTTTTACCTAGAATTCTTTGAAATAATAATTTTGTGTCTAGTAATAGCACATTTTTTTCTTTTTTAAAAGTAGACTTAATTTGTTTTTAGAATAGTTATAAGTTCATAGTAAAATTGGACAGAAAGTACAGATTTCCTATATGCCCCCTTCCCCTACACATAAATAGCCTCCCTTGTTACCAACATCCCTCACTAGTGTGGTACATGTATATGTGTTGATGAACCTATCTTGACAGATCCTTATTACCCAAGGTCCATAGTTTGCATTAGGGTTCACTCTTGTTGTTATACATTCTATGAGTTTGGACAGATGTATACTGACATGTATATTATGTTTTGATTGGCAGAATACTTTGACTCTTAACCCATTAAAGAAACTTTTAATACTTACCCTCAGAAAGGTAATTAATATGCTCTCATTTCACTATCTGTAAAATAGTAATTTCTGTTTTTATATGTATATGAGAATTTATACCTATATATACATATATCTTCCTCAGAATTAAAAAGTGTTTATTGTTTTTCTTAGGGTAGGTCAGTAGATTAAAGGTATTGAAATGAGATTTTAACAGCAGAGGCTAAGGGGTTAATTATTGTAAAGAAAGTTTTATTATTTTCCTATCTCTGCAGGGACTAGAATAGATGACATGAATTTGGAATCCCTTAAGGGTAAAATCTTTAGCCATTTAGATGTAGAGAGATCTTCTGTTGGTGATTAAAATAGTTTATTATTTTGTTCCTGAGTGTAAATGTAAGATAAACTATAGTTTCAGATGTTTTAAATGCTCATTTACTGAAGCCTGTTTGGCTCAGGTAGCCTTGAAGTTCAGTGATTTTGTGATTTCACAAAGTAGATTTTAAAAATAAAGAGATCAGACATGCTTTTAATAACATTTTAAACTGAAATATTTCCAAAGCAAATAATTTTTCCTTTCAAAATTTTTTCCTGAAAAAATTATTTATATATAAGAAATGCTGGTGGTACTTTAGATGATGGGAATATAAAGATGAATAAATGTGATCTACATCCTCAGGACTTCATGATATAGTGAAGGAGACAGTAAAACAGTGATGTACACTATTAGGTGATAAGAGCTTTAATTGGGGTGTGCATAACATGAAAACACATAAAAGAGGAACCTAGTCAGTGTTCCAGAGAGAGCAAGACAGCATTTTCAGTGGTGAATGCTGGAGCTGAGTTTGAATGATGAGATTTAGTCAGGTAGTAGGGAGCACAAAACAAGTAGAAGAGACCGGGATGGAATGTGTGGAGGAACTCTCACCTAAAATCCTCAATATATCTGTCCCATATATGTTGTTCTCAGTACATGCTTTTTGGCCTTATTCAGTACTATTTTTTATTGGAGAAGCAATCCTAAAAATTACTCCTGTAAATTTCAAATTCATTTTAAGTTACTTATATCAGCATATTTTTGTACCTAAATGAAATGATATACCTGGGCAATCTGGTGGCAGATCATTAACAAGTTGGAATATAAGCTCAGGAGTACCTAAACTCTACATCAAGCGTATATTGAAGGAGGTCAGGTGTTTTCAGGGTTGAACCTGAATTGTATTAAAGTAAGAATTACTGATGGGGCACAGTGGCTCACACCCGTAATCCCAGCACTTTGGAAGGCTGAGGTGGGCAGATCACTTGAGGCCAGGAGTTCGAGATCAGCCTGGTCAACACTGTGAAACCCTGTCTCTACTGAAAATACAAAAATTAGCTGGGCATGGTGGTGCAGGCCTGTAATCCAGCTACTTGGGAGGCTGAGGCACAAGACTCACTTGAACCCTGGAGGTGTAGGCTGCAGTGAGCCGAGATCACACCTCTGGACTGTAGCCTGGGCAACAGAGTGAGACTCTGACTCAAAAAAAAAAATTACTAACTCTTAAAATATAATTCTGTTGGCTTTATTTATAATGGCAGAGTCTAATGCATGTGGTGATATTATTGCTGACCTTGTTAAGTGTGGAAAAGAATGGTACAAATGAGAAATATATTAATGAACAGATTTTACTGAATTTGTTTTCAAGACATCTTAGAGGAAACATTTAATAATCCTCTGTTACTTGTAATAATTTAGGTTGTTGAATCTCCATGAGACCTTCTAAATACTCTTTACTAAATAATAAGTCTTGGTGATCCACCCGCCTAAAAAAATTGTAAATATTGAACATTTAACTTTTTGAATTCAAGTACTAGTTTTATACCGTTTAATGCAATCACTTCATATTATATGCCAGCAAATTAAGACTTTTTAAGCATTGAATTGCCTGTTTAAAAAAATTTATGTGGTTCTGCCAGACTTATGTATTTATTGATGCTTCAAGATTCAAGTGGCATATTAGTTAACCTACGTAGTTTTGTGAGGTGAGAAATGTCATCCAATATTTATCTGATTTCAAAATCTCTGTTTATTTTTACTTCACATGCTGCTCAGCGTATAACAATGTCATTTTCAAAGTCCTTGAAGATTTTAGTGGTTTTTACACAAATAAAGCTGTTTTTGTATTTTATTAATGGAAGAAATTTTCAAAAAATGTTAAGACTTTCTAACGTAGTTACTTTTACCAAGAACCAGATTTGGGGGAAGAATGTAATTGGAGTTTGGATGTGCCACATTTGAAATGCGTGTGAAATATCAAAATAGAAGTGTATCGATAAGCTGATATATGAGTAGAGATCTAGATTAAAAAAAAATTCTAGGATAAAGGGTAGGATTTCAGAGTGATCAACATGAAAAATGGTAATTTAAGTTATAGGGAGAAGGTACAGAATGAGAATAAAATAGTGCCCAATGGCAGAACCCTGAGAACAGCAATGTTTAAGGGAATCTGATAAGAAGAACAGCACACAATAGAGACTAAGGAAGAGTACCTCTAGTGGTAGCTGAAATCCTGTAAAAGTATGAGATCATGAAAACCAGGAGAATACTAAGTTGTAAGTGATTGATGTTATCAAATACTGCACCTACTACTTTTAACAATAGAGAAATTATTAGTGCCTTTGGTGAGAACCATTTCACTGGTATAGAAATCAAGACTTCAGTAAGTTAAGATGTGAGTAGAGCTTTATATATCTCTTTGTTATTTGGTCATCTAATTTCTGAGCTTCTTGTCAAATTGTCACAATCAGCAAATAACCCAGTCTCCACCCCCAAAATGTCCCCTTCCCGTAGAGCTACATGTTGTTAAATCTTTTAAGACCTTTCACTATGAAGGAAATAAGATGAGTCAGTAGCTGGCTGTGGAAGCTGCTGTTTATTTTTTTTTTAATAAGAATGATTTTTGAATATTAAGTGCCAGTAGTCAAAAATTGAGTAAAAACTGAGGTTAAAGATAAAGGCAGAGAATATTGAAGGGGTATTTTTAGTTGGTGAGCATGGATTTAGTTATTTAACAAATCAGCCAACATAGCCCAATGCATCCATTTCATAATAGAGATGATCTTGCTTGTTATATCTAAATTATAAAAGTTTACTTTCTATGAACTCCTGAATCCTACATTCACTATTACATAAGGGGCAACCTTGATGGTGACCTTGACAAAATTTGGTATCTGTTGTCAGGCACTACTCACATTTCTTTTGACTTTTCTCTGCTTTCATGGTTGACCAATCCTTTGACTGATGTAGTCATATTTTAGATGTTATTACATTAATTTTTATTTTCTTGCTGTCCTTGTAAGTATAATGTATTTTTAAGAATATTTTTAAAAATAATATTTATTTTCTATTTTGTTTTTACTGTTGAACGCGAATCTTATTTGCATTATTTTTTGATTCTTGGAGGAAAACTCACCGTTTCTCCCAAGTTCTGAGAAATCATCTATAGTTTAAGAAGTAAGAGTGAAAGAGCCAATGCTTATTCTCATATGTCAACTGTTTAAAGTTGCTGGATTAGGAAAATATTGTTTAGAATGAAGAAACTTATTTATAATATCTATTAAATATTAAAGAAATTTATTGAATGCCTATTTTGTGTGCCAGGTGTAGAAATGTACAGTTGAAAAACTATGATAGAAAAGATGCTTTCCTTCATGGTTTATAGCTTAAAAAGAGGCACCAAATTTAAACAATTATACAAATACTTTTAAATGACTTTTTTTGTGAATTGATCTAGAGATGGTATAGAGCTCACAATCAGACTTTATGCTGCAATTTCTCCAATTATTTCTTGGTTATATAAAGTTTGCTCTCTGGTTGATGCCTCATGAATAACTCTTGGAGAAATAGCCCTCGAGTTCTTCACGTACTTAATGGTTCATGTGTGAATTCTAAACTTCTGATTTTTAACTTTAGAGCCCCAGAGGTTTTTTTTTATTTTTGTTTTTTATTTAAACTAGAGAATGTTGCAATGCTGATCATTCTGTGTCTTTTTTTGTTTTAGGGATGTAAGTTCATTACTCTTTTTAATTCTGGAAGGTTTTCTTGAATTACAGTTTTCTTTAATTATTCTGTTCCATTTACTTGATTTTTCTGCCTTAGGGTCTACAAATATACACATATTAATCTACTTTGCCTGACTTCTGTGTTTGTCATTTACTCTCAAGTCATTTTTCCCTTCTCTCCTTTTTATTTGTTTCACTTTTATCACTTTTCCTCTGTGTATTCTGTTTCTCCTACTCTGTTTTCCATGGTGTCTGTTTACTCTTGTGCTCCTTCTAATTTAGTTTGTGTTTTCTAGTATTATTTTCTTTCTAGTTCTTATTTGTATTCTTTCAGAAAACTTCTCATATCTCCATCTTTTTTTGGTCATCTCATTTCTGAGCTTTTTGTCAAGAGCTGTGAAGGGGCTGGAATTTTTACCCTATTTGCAAGCTAAAAACTTAGCTTGCCACAGTTTCAGGAATCAGATGGACAACATAAGACTCTTGGATCAGAGCTGAAAGACTTTATGACTGACCAGAGGAAATCTCCTGAGTGGTTCATAGCTTCTTTATATCAGCCAGGACCTATCGAACTAAACTCTGAGACTTTTTATTGTCATCTTTGAAAGGATCTAATATTGGCAAGATGGACTATAGGAGGAATTTAGTCATAAGATGCCACTAAGACATTGTTTGGGAGATATTTTTGAACTTATTTCCCTTGGCCTATAACCCTTTCTTCTTCTTCTCTTCATTAATAGGCAGCAAAATTAAGATGACTCATTACCTGATTGACTGTACAGTTTTGTCAGAATGTCCATTGTTACTTCTCAAGCACTCTCCTCAAATGCTATTAATTGGACCATAGGACTGGGCCTTTTGTTCTCCAGAAATCCACGTATCTTGTCAGCATTCCATTTTGTTGTCAGATCTGTCAAGTACTGTGAAGGGTCTGAGATGTTACCCTATTTGCAAAGATGACAGATTAGTTTCATGGATGCTGACAGAAGACCTGAGACCCCTGATTCAGAGACAGAAGGCTTTATTTCATATAACAAAAGCAATAACCACAGTGTCCACATATTTGCACTGGTTGCCTGAGCCTCAGTTCCCAGAGGACAACTTGGAGGGCCAAGTAACACCTGTATCCTGAATGGGTTGTGGTAAAGAGAGGAACTGAGGGTCAAGGACCCAGCACTTTTGGAGCAAATAGTAAACATTGTCACAATCAGCAAACAACTCAGTCTCCCAGCCAACCCCAAAATGTCTCCTTCCGGTCAGAATATCCTTTTTCTCCTCTCGGAAAGAGAGTATCTGGTGTTGCAATCTGGTTTAACCACATTCTTCTTGTTATCCCTCTCACATCAGATATCCACAGGGAACTGCTCTTCATCTACCCCAACTCTGTTCTTTTGTGGGAGAAATGTCCGTCACTTGATAACCCAGTGCCAGGACGTAGAGGAGAATACATTATCGGAGAATGTCTAGAGGCCAGCCTCTGTGGATGCCTGTACCGAATGGACTCCAGAGCTGCCCTATTAGTACCTTACCATCTCTGGCTGGCCCTGGAATGCATTACAGTTTTCTGACACAATGCAGTCGGTGATTATACCTAGAGAAGAGTAGAGAAAGGAAAGGGGCACAGATAGTTCTTCCCACCCCTGCTTATCCCCGTTAGTGCCACCAGGTCTTCTTCAGCTCTAAGCTGCACTTTTCTGCCTTCTCCCATTCAAGTGATCTCTGTCTCCCCAGGGGTGTTGGAGAATTTTAAATTAAATTCTAGGATCCCTCCTTCTCCTTTGTGTCTTTGAGATCTTTGAATAGGGTTTATAGTAGGCAACTTGCAGCTCAGGTTAGTTTGTTCAAGTTCCAGACAAGATGACATTTACTTTTGAAGACCTGGTTCAAATTTTGTCTCCTAAAAGTATTCTGGATACACTAATTATACTTGGCTATCGGCACTAAATCTCAGTAGAATTGATTCATACAGGTACTTTAAAATTCATTAACAATCATATTCTATAACTTTTCTGCTGTTCTTAATTTCCACCTTGTAGGTAGGACTTATATCTTATCCTTGTAATATAACCCCACAACTTTGGAGTAAGTTGGTCTGAAATGCTGGTGTTTCCAAATAGATTTTAATGGCAAGATTATTTTTACCTGGTCTCATGTTGATTACTTGGACATTACTGGAAGATTCAAAATGAAGTTGATTATAGAACTGAGATCTTGGTTTTTCCATTTTTCTCTAGCATTATCCATAACCAAACTTCAGATATGATTATATGACATTAAGTTTGCTTTACAGTGGAAGATGTGCCAATGTGTAGTATATAAAATACTAACATTATTTTCTTTTGACTTCTTTTTGTAGAATCAGATTATTCTTACTACAACTTAATCCTGAAGAAAGCTGGACAGTTTCTAGACAATTTACACATCAACCTCTTAAAGTTTGCTTTCTCTATAAGGGCATACTCCCCAGCTATTCAGATGTTTCAGCAGGTGTGTAAAAATATCCAAACTGTATTGGACAAAGAGGCATGCTAGCAATGTACATAGAGCTCTTTAATATGAACATCTTTAGTTCAAAATGATCTACAAGTTTATAGTTGGTTCCATAGCCTATCATTGATTATATTATTATTGTTGTCATTTATTATAATGTAATTGAATATATTCTGTAATTTTTATAGTTATTTGGGATAAGGAAATGGGGACAAATCACTGAAATGAAGTATCATAAAAATTTTAATAGAATTTTTTCAATAACTTTGAAGCATGCCTTTCCTAGGATAAAGTTGATTTTATTAAAATATTTCTTAGATTCTGCATACATATAGATGTTTTTCACTTTAATTGGAGCAATAACTTAATAGTAGTTGATGAGTTATTTTAATCAAAGTAATGTGTGAGGGTTTTAAAATCATATTGTAATTATCAACTACTGTAGCTAAATATAATCTTTGAAATCTTAGATTGCAGCTGATGAGCCACCACCAGATGGTTGTAATGCATTTGTGGTTATCCATAAGAAGCACACCTGTAAAATTAATGAGATTAAAAAGCTGCTGAAGAAAGCTGCTTCAAGGTAAATTAATAATAGCCTATAATGAAAGAAGTGGTTATAAAGAGGACAGTTCAATAGCAGAAACTTCTTATAATAAAAAATTTAATATTCTAAGACATGGTATATTCAAGAACGTGATTTGTATTGAAAACCTTAATATATCTGAGAATGTTTTGTCTTGATTAGCTTTTGATTTTAGCATATAAATTGTGCCAAAATAACATAAAACATGAAATGTTTCATATAAGCATAACTTGTTTTTTGAAATAAACATGCAAAACTATGAATGTATTTGGTTTATATCTCTTTAAATATAAACTGAATATATAACTGGGGAATAACAAAGTAATCAAAACAATAGATACGGTTACTTCCTATATACAAAACTTTTTTTTTTTTGCTTTTTTGAAAGAATTTAATTAAAAAATGGCAAATCAGAAGTAAATTATTAATTTATTAGTGATTTTTTAGAGTAATACTACCAGTATATTTTTATTGCCTGATTGTAATTTAAAAAGTAATAAAGTAGTTTCATTAATTTTGAAAGAGCTCTATTAAACAGTAATATATATTTATGCATATTAATACTTCTCACTTGTTAAACCATTTCTAACGTTTTCTTATACTTGTATTGATTTTAATATACAAAAGGCTTCTATTTTTATGTAGCCGAATTTTCCTGTGAATGTGACTTCTATATTGTTTTTATACTGTTTTTCCCGAACCTGATTGGAAGATTTTACTAATTATTTCTGTAGCTTTCTTAAAGTTTTTCCTTTTATTTTACATTAAACTTTTAATCTATCTGTAATTTATTTTCATCAAAAGGTAGAATCCAACGAGATTTTTTTCCTCAGGTAGCTAGTCAATTGTATTCATTATATTTATATTATGGTCTATTTCGTAGCTCTTTGTTCTGCTCCATTATGTATTTCTTATAGTAGTGTCATACTGTTTTAATATTTACTGCTTTATTATCCAGTTTCTGACAGGAGGATTTCTTCTTCATTGTGGCTCTTTTTCCTCCAGAATGCCTTAGCTCCTTGTGTTTGTTGATGTTTTTAAATTAACATTGGAATCCTTTTCCTCCCCAAGCTCCCGTTCCCCAAAAACCTTGTTAGAATTATGTTAAAAGTATTGGTTAATTTAAGAAAAATTTACATCTGTGTTGTATTGAATCTCTTATCAGATAACATGGTATGTTTCTCTGTTCATACCTGCTTTTAAAACTTAAAGGCAGAAATAATTGCTTTATTTTATCAATTATTTTTTCATCGATTGAGATGGATACAAGGTTTTTCTCACTGGACATACTAATGTATTACAAAATACTTTGAAATACCTTCTTTTCAGTTCTGAGGAAAACTACTGGTTATTAATGGTGTGAGATTATCTTAATTTGCTTTTGAATTAGATTGCTTTCATCTTGTTTTCATGTTTCTGTTTTAATAAATGAATAACTGTACATGTATTGAAATTATTTGACATCTTTAATTTTTATCAGTCATTGTACTTTCATATAGTGACTTAGGCAGCCATGTTATTCTTATTCTGAATGAGTTAATATAGGAATTATCTATTCCTTTATGGCATTATTAGACTCACTATAAAATTGTTAACACTAGTGTGTATTTTTTCCTTTCCTAGTGCATCTTTTAAAGGAAATTTTGTAATGTTTAAAATTTATTGTCATTGATTTCTGATGTCAAATTTTATAATTATAGAAACTAATGTACCTTGAAGATTACAAAAGAAATTAACATCAAACTATTAGGAAAGTCAATCTGCCACGGACCCTGTGAGTCCTTGCATGTTCTTTCTTGGTCTGACCAGCAAAAAATGCCAGGTCCTGACCACTCTTTACCTGGGCCATTTCTCAGGGTTGTATTTGCAGTGAGCACCCTTGAGGAATGAGGTAATGTTTGCCTTTGGGATTGGGGGCAGGGAGTAAGCATGTTTTATTGTTTACTATAAAACAGTGCTTCCCCAAGCCCAGTGTTCCTTAATGGAAACATATGCCGACTCTGTAGGATCCATCTAAGTCCATATTTTGTCACCCCCCGTGGGACTTTGGGGGCAAGCATAATAATGCTTATACTGCTTGCTCTATGTCATGAGCAATAAAGTTGTTTGTCTTTGACCCAGGAGTCTTATGTCTTCTATCAGAACCCATAAAAGAATAAAAGGCTAACTTACTAGTTTGTAAGTCAGGTAAAATCATACCTTAGATTTTTACAGTTCTTGATAGTTTTAGAGACTGTCATGGGTGGGATGTTGACTGACACATAGCTTCTGGAAGAGGAAGTTCCTAAGGGCCCATGGGTCAAGAAGAAAAAGGGTCAACACTTAACATTTCTTCCCACTGCCCGCCTCTTTCTCCCTGTGGTCTTGGTGGGTGATAGCAGTCTCCTGATTGTGTTGTAGTCCAATACATGTTCCTTGATCTGTGCTCCTAAGGAAAAGGCACTCAAATTTCTCTGATTTAATGGATTATTGTTTTGGCTCTGATTATATAACTGGTATTGGTATTTTACATGCTTACACTGTGAATGCTGTCAATGTTTGTGAAGCCCAGAGGGAAACTCTCATTCAGAGACTACCACACATAGACACTCCCAGGTGGTCCAGCAGAAACGAAGAATCAATCCCAGGAGGAGAAAGGACAATCACAACTTTATATAGACTTCATAGCTGCTGGACCACCCAGAGAGACTGTTTCCAAGTACAATAGTGCCACCTGCCTGACTCAGCCACTTAGTACACACCCCTTTTTAAAATGAGCAGTTCTTAAGCTGCTGCGAAGCTCTTGTTGAAACTGAACGCCTGACCCATGGAGGCCTTGTGACTCTACCATATGACATTTACATTTTCACGTAGTTCAACTAGGAGTCAGTGTCTGGCAAGGTGAAAGGGACCCAACAAGCCTCTCTGCTCAAATGGAAATTATATATTCAAAAGCACAGCTTCTTGGCCCTAGCATGATACCAGGTATATGTGAAAAAGTGGCAGCTACTCTTTTGGGAGTGAACCCATTTCACTACCTGAAGTAAGGTCACTGGCTCAAAAGGGCCCTCAATTCACAGTGGTTTCCCTAAATGCCTGGGCCAGGCTGCTGGTATGTTTAACTAAGTTAACAGCTGGTGGGATCTTTGGACTGCCTCTGCTACCATTCCACCAGGCATAAGCCTTGTAAAACCAAAAGCCGAAGTGGTCACTCTACTCAGTGGGCAGAACTCAAGGCCGTCATCCTCTCCCTGAACAAAATCTGACCCCTTGATGAAATATAATACATTTATACTGACTCTTGTGCTGTTGCCAATGGCCTACCTGTCTGGTCTGCCACTTGGAAGACTACAGATGGGCAGATTAAAAATAGCACTCCTTGGGGCTTACGCACTGCAAAAGTAATTTACGCTTGCCCATCTGACAGTCTGGTGTACTCCTATAGATGTACATATTATAAACCCATTCCCTGATAAGTGTGAATAGAGACAAGCTGACTATGCCAAGACTGTGTGAAGCCCTGACTGCTCTTTACCATGGCCTTTTCTCGGGGTGTTTTCAGTAAGTGACTTTGAGGGATAAGTTAATGTTTCCCCATGGGACAAAGGACAGCTTACTTACTGCTTGTTATTAAATGATGGGTTTCCCACACTCAGTGTTCGTTAGATGTGATCCATACCCACTGCCTGTGTAGAATTCTTGTGGGTCCATCTTCTCCCTATGGGATGTGGGGCCATGGGGAACCCATGTAAACATACTAATGCTCATGTTGCTTGCTGTGCCACAAGTATCAAGTTCTTTGTTTCTGACTCAGAAGTTTCTGTCTGTTGCCATAATCCATGAAACAGTAAAAAGCTAACTTACTGGCTTGTAAGTAGGGTAAAACAATTCTGCAGCCTTACAGAAACATTCTCCCCGCCTCTCTCTGTATACAGGGTAAAGTTAATAATTTTTTTTTTTCCTTTTGTGAACTTTAGGCATATACTCTTGGGTTTGTGACCTCTTATCAACATTGGTCAATGGTTGTTTTTTCTTATTTAAGCATATAATTTGTTTTTACATAGGTTATTTATAGTAATACAAATATTTTAATTTTTTCCTCTCTGTAGGTATGTTTCTCCTTCCTAGATTTTTTTTAGTTTTCATTTTCTTTCAGTTTTTCCAGATTAGGTTTTTATCTTTTTCTAAAGAAATGACTGATAAATTTATTCTGCTTTTTAATTCTAACCTAATACGTTTTGCATTTATGTATTTTCTTCTGTCTGTGGTTGAGCTACACACTTGGTTTGTTTTTCTTTTTTTCAATTATAATATATTTAGGTCATCAAAGTTGCCTTTCTTTACTATGTGGTATTCTCATTGTCCCAATTTCTTAAAATTCTTCTTAATGGTAGTTTTATTTACTTGTTGAAAAGGGAGTACTGGGAGAAAGTTACACTCGTTTAGGGTGGTAATGATTGCTGTCACTTTCCCCCAGATATATAGCTCATATTTTATTTTGTTTTAATTTATTTTATTTTTCTGAGACAGAGTCTCGCTCTAGTGCCCAGGCTAGAGTGCAGTGGTACAGTCTCACTGCAACCTCTGCTTCCCAGGCTCAAGTTGTACTTCTGCCTCAGCCTCCTGAGTAGATGGGACTACAGGTGCAAACAGCCATGCTCAGCTGATTTTTTGTATTTTTTGTAGAGACAGGGCCTTGCTGTGTTGCCCAGGCTGGACTCAAACTCCTGAGCTCAAGCAATCTGCCTGCCTCAGTCTCCCAGAGTGCTGGGATTACTGGCATGAGCTACCACTCTTGGCCTTCATTCACATTTTAATATTATATCTATAAAGTTTCGGGGCAGATCCAGACCATAGATATTTTTGAACCATGGAATAGGAAGTAGGGAGAGGTGAAGAATCAGTTTACTCTACTTTTTTCACTAGCACGTTCTTGTTTTAAGTGGTAAGATTGACTGTCAGTTATGATTCTAAGTTGAACAGCATAGGTTTTATAGTAAGTAAACTTTACTTCCAATTTATGATATAAAGTTATTGTTAGTTTGCAACTTCATTAAGAATTTTTGTCTCTTTCTGTGTCTTTGTAAATATTTTTGGAGATACTGTAAAATTTAGTGTCAGGGACTGCTCTCCAAATGCCACTTCAAATCAGTATGACTGTCTTTTTTGTGGCTTTAAACTTTTGTCCCAAGTGGAAAGCTGTATGTTTAAAGTTAAAAAAGAATCCTATATGGTCATTATAAAAGAGTTCAAATACTTTGGAAAAATGAAAGTGGAAAGGGAAAATGGCCCATAATTCTGCTAGCAGTTTAATATATATTATTTTTTAATGCATATATTTATATACAGATATATTTTAAAAAACATTTATTGTACTATAAAGGGTATCTTAAATCCTTCTCCCATTAAGTTATGTGTTCTTACATGTAAATAAATAAAATTACTGGTATGTACCAATTTTATGTGTTAGGCTGTTTTTGTGTTACTATAAGGAAATACCCGAGGCTGGGTAATTTATTAAAAAAAGAGGTTTAGTTGGTTCATGGCTCTGCAAGCTGTACAGGCATAGCGCTAACATCTGCTTGGCTTCTGGTGAGTGCCTCAGGAACCTTACAGCCATGATGGAAGGTGAAGCTGGAACAGGCATGTCACATAGTGAGAGCAGAAGCAAGAGAGTAAGGGAGGCCCCTGCGAATTGCATTTCAACATGAGATTTGGGGGGGACAAATACCCAAACCATATCATTCTATTCCTAGTCCCCAAAATCTCATGTCCTTCTCACATTGGAAATTACAATAATTTCTTCCCCATGTCTTAACTCATTCCGACATCAAGTCCGATGTCCTCAGTGCCATCTGAGACTCATCTGCTTCCACTTATAAGTCTGTAAAATCAAAACAAGTTATTTACTTCCGAGATACAGAGATGGTGCAGGCATTGGGTAAACATTCCTGTTACCAAAGGGAGAAATTGGCCAAAAGAAAAGGGTAACAGGCCCCATGCAAGTCTGAAACACAGTAAGGCAGGCACTAAATCTTAAAGCTGTCATGTAATCCTTGACTCCATGTCCCACATCCTGACGTACATCCTGGTGGGCTCCCTAGGCCTTGGGCAGCTCCAGCCCTGTAACTTTGCAGGATGCAATCCACGTGGCTGCTGTCATGGGTTGGGGTTGAGTACCTCTGGGTTTTCCAGGCAGAGTCTGCAAGCTGCTGGTGAATCTACCATCCTTGGGTCTGAAGGGTTGCAGCTCCCCCTCCACTAGCTTCACTAGGCAGTATCCAGGTGGGGACTCTGTGTGGGGTTTCTAACCCCACATTTCCTCTATGCACTGCCCTAGTAGAATATCTGTGGGGGCCTTGCCTGTGTAGCAGGCTCCTGCCTGGGCACTAGGCTTTTCTATACATCCTCTTAAATCTAGGTGGAGGCCTCCAAACCTCCTTCATGCTTGCCTTCTGAGCATCTGCAGACGTGAGACCATCTATAAACTGCCAGGGCTTATGGCTTGTGCCCTGTGGAGCTGTGATGTGAGCTTTACCTCCACCCCTTTGAGCTGAGGGTGGAACTGGAGCAGCTGGATGCAAGTTGCAGCCTGCTGGCATGGCACAGGGCAGTGAGCATTCTTTCCTTTTAGGCATCAGGGCGTATGAGGAGAAGGGCTGCCTCATATAGCTCTGAAATACCTTCCAGGCCTTTTCTTCACTGTCTTGGCTGTCAGCTCCTGGCTCCCTTTTAGTCACACAAATCTCTCTAGGAAGTGGTTGCCCAATAGCCCACTTAGATTCTTCCCTGAAAATGGGCTTTTTCTTTTCTGGCTAGGGCTGCGAAATTTTCAAACTTATGTTCTGTTTCCCTCTTAAATATGAATTCCAACTTAAAGCCATTTCTTTGTTCCTGCCTCTGAGCATACGTTGTTAGAAGCAACCAGGCAACTTCTTGAACACTTTGATGCTTGGAAATTTCTTCCACCAAATATCTTAAGTCATCCCTTTAAGTTCAAACTTCCACAGATCCCTAGGGCAGAAGCACAATGCAGCCAAGTTATTTGCTGAGGCATAACAAGGGTGACCTTCACTCCAGTTCCCAAAAACTTGCCCTGCCATGCAGTAGATGCTGAAAAATATTGGGTGAATGATATCATAATGAAATGAATAAATAAGTTTGATTATTCCACTCCTTGGGGTAGATATATAGGTAGTTTACACTAAACAATATGTAATTGAACTTCCTTGTACATACATCTTTGCACCGTTACCTTGATTATTTTCTTAAATTTCTGGAACTGAAATCTCTAGGTAAGTACATGTATATTAAAATGTATACTCCAGAATTGTCTTCTGGTTTTACACTCTACTAAAATTTTTACCAATGCTAATTTGTATTAATTCTCTTTAACACCTTAGTCAATTCAGTAAATGAAAATTGCTACTTTTAAATATAATTATTTAATTTTTAAAGATTGTTTTCCTCTTATCCAGCCATCCTCTGTAAGTATAATTTTTCTACCTATGATATATCCAAGCCGTTCCTGAATTAATCATAAAAGAAAATTTTGAAAATTATGTTGTCTATAGGTACAGGAAGGAAGGTGCTGTTGATCACAGACTCAGCAAATGGTAGAGAGGCCTTACCTTTGTGTGTAAAGTCTCTTCCGTTTCCTCTAATTTTTCCTTTTATATTCAACCTCAAGATTTATATGCTAGCATAGTTTTATTGGCAGCCTTTCTAGTTTTCAACAGTAGTAAATTCTTTGAAGGAAGAATTTCTCAGACTTACATTAAAATTTAAGATTCCTTATATAAATTACTAAATGTACTTCTGTGATACTGATTTGATAAAATCAGATTTATAAAATGATAATCCTGCTGCTATATAAGTGACATTTGAGTTCCAAGGTTTCAGTTAAAATTTATGAGAATAATTTTAATACTTCCGTGCAAGAATCTCTTTCACTTCTCTTTTCAAATGTGAAGTATGATTTTGTATCCTTTTAGCATTTATTAATAGCATCTCATGAAGAAAGAGAGCAAATTCAATGTCTCTTGTTTTGCACATTCGTGTCTCTTCATCTGTTACAGAGAAGATCAATAATGAAGTGAAATTCTATTTGGGGCTAAGATTCTATTGATTTTATACTTCAACTATCTAAACATTGACAGTAGTATTTTAAAAATCACATCTTGAATAGCAGTAATCAAATTAAAGTAGATAAATGTGTGACTATTTTATACTTGAATGAAAAGTTTATTTAAAAAGTGGAAGGGTATACATACTGTACAAGCCAAACTATAATATAAGGATGCTTGAATTATATAATTTTCTAGACTTTTAATAACATTTCTATATTGATGTTGAGTAATATCACAAATTCTAAGCCAAATAACTGTGGAAATCTCTCAAATTATTCTGTTAGTCAATAAGATTGAATGCTTGAATGATTTTGATTTAGAATATATTGAGTCAGTAAGTAGTTAAGCTAGAATTGAATCAAATTCTGCCTGATGTCAAAACCCAGCTTTTTTTTCCACCAACATGCTGTAGGAATGTTACTCATACCCTTTTTTCTTCTGTCCTTAACATCTGTTATCCAAAGGTAGTAACTGACTGAATGATTGTAGAGATCAGAATTCACTAAATACAAGGTTATTTCTCAACATCCTTGTTACTCTGAACTTCCTTATCTCTTGGTTTGCTTTCTACCTGTATAAATTGCCAAAACATATGGGCTTTGGAATTCCATAAACAGGAGTTGAAATTCTGGCTTTCCGTTTGATCTTTTCCGGAATAGTTAACTTATCTGAACCTCAGAAACTTAAAAGTTTCAGTGATGGTAGCTGTCTTAATTTTTTTGTGAAATAGAATTTACTAATAAGTATAAAGAACCTAGCACAGTGCCTGGCAAATAAGAAATCAGTTAAAGTCTGTTTCTTGTAATAGTGCTAGACCGTAAGAGTCCTGGTTTCTTTGCTCATACTTGTGGATTTGATGAGTACTTGTTCATACTAAGTACGGATAATCTTTGAATAAGGTAGTACTTTTGCTTTGTTCCTTGAATATTTGTACTTGTTTTCAGGAAATACAAGCTGTAATGAAAAATTATAACCTTCTAATAGAATAAAATATAAATTTTATTTCACTGAAAATTGTGTTGCCGTTATATGTTATTGCTTAAAGATAATAAACCTTGTTGGGAAATAAAGTATTTTTAATATTAGATTTGGGTTAACCAAATTCTTTATTTCTTTTCTGTCATTTAGTTCAAGTTGTGTGTGCAAAGTCATCACAGGAAATTTAAATTCTTTTTCTGTGATTATGTATATTATGAATTGTTAAGCAGCAGTTATACAGAATTGATATGCCATCGACTTTCAATTCTTTCAAAACTTTGTGTTTTGCTTTTATCTTAGGACTAGACCTTATCTATTTAAAGGAGATCATAAATTTCCCACAAACAAAGAGAACTTACCAGTGGTGATTCTCTATGCCGAAATGGGTACTAGAACATTTAGTGCATTTCACAAAGTATTGTCTGCAAAAGCTCAAAATGAGGAAATTCTGTATGTTCTTCGCCATTATATTCAGGTATGTGCTTGTTTTTTCCAAGGTTACTTTTGGCTGTAGAAAAAAACAATTATTATGATAATTTTCTTACTAGATTTAAATAGTAATTTTCACCAGAATAGTTATCTTGTTTTAACTTAACAAATATGACTTTCATGTGGGAAAATATGTTGGGATTCTGTCTCTTTTGGGGGTATGATGTCTATAACTCTTTGCCTTATATCTGGCACAAATTTAAAACTTGGATAAAAAACAAAAACATACTTCAATAATGTGTATAATATTTGCTAAGAATTTGCAATGAAGAAATCTAATTTACTCAGTATACTGATAATATATACAGTATTAGATCAAAGTACAAAGCATGATGTTGGAGTACTGTTAACTCTTTCTTTTGAGACCTGACTACTTTTCATTCAGGCATCTGGTATGTGCTGTATTGTTCCCCATTCTGTTAGCTTCCCATTGCTATGACACTATCACATTTTTCTGTTTTAATGATTTCATAGCACTTATTACTATATCTCAAGTTTATTTAACACTTTCAGCACACATACATGCACACACACACACACACACGTGCGTATGAATATAATGACCATTAGTGGAAGGACTTCGCTTTTTTACTACTGTCTTCCCAACATGGAGTACTTTAATTTGCATTTCCCAAATTATTAAGATTTATATACTAATATCTAATGTAATTAAAACCTTACGAATATATTTGTAAATTGCCTGTCCATAGCCTTTGCCTATTTTTGAATTGGATTCTTTTTTTTTCTCATTGGTTTTTAGGTGTTTTTAATATATTTTGAATACTAATCTTCCATACTTTGCAGCATCTTCTCCTAATGCATTTCTGGTCTGGTATTTTTTTAAAAATTGTTTATGACATCTTTTACAAATATTACTTGTGATATAGTCAGATTTACTCAACTTTACCTTAATGATTTCCTTTATTGATGTTATAAGGACATTCTCTTGTAAGAGCTGAAGTTCTATTTTTTGTTTTGGTTTTTAATCCATCTGGAATTTATTTGAATATACTATGGGGTGGAGATATAATTCTGTTTTTTTCCATATGGAAAATTATTGGTCTTCACATACTTCATTGAACAGTCAAGTCTTTATTCTACTCCATCATATGCCAAATTTTTATATAGACATGTATGTATTTTTAGACTTTCCATTCTGTTGCAGTGATATGTATGTCTATTCTACACAAATATAACATTTTTATTGGTGTAGTTTAAAATATATTTTGATATCTGGTAGTACAGCTCTGCTTCTTAGTTTTTGTTTTTCTAAATACCTTGACTGTTCTTGCATGATATGTAGCCATGTTAATTTTAGAATTAGTTGGCCAGGTTCCATGAAACATGTTGTTGGGATTTCATATGGGAATGAATTGGACCTTTCTGATTAATTTTGAAGAGACTTTTTCTTCATATATATTGAGCTTTGCCTTCTATGAACATATTTTTATTTCACAATCTAGTCAGATGTCTTTTTGAAAAGTATCATCTGTGATGTACAATGTTGGTTTTCAACAATCACACAGTCATCTGTCAGTCACCTTAGTACCATCACATTCACATACAGATTCTTGTAGGAACATATGTTTTCAATTTACTTGGATAAATGCCTGGAAGTTCTATTGCTGAGTTGTATGGTAAGTCAATGTTTAACTTCATAATAAACTATAGCAAACTGTCTCTCAAAGTGACTGTACAATTTTTCATTCCCCTTAGCCAGGAAAGATAATTTCGCTGCTCTAAATCCTAACCACCATTTGTTAATGTCAGTTTTTTTATTATAGCTGTTCTAGGTACACAGTGGTATCTCACTGTGGTTTTAATTTGCATTTCTCTAATGACTAATGAAGTTGTCTGACTTTTCATAAGTTTCTTTTTGGTGAACTTTTTTTGTTGAGTTTTCAGAGTTCTTTATATGTTCTAGATATAAGTCCTTTATGAGATACATGATTTACAAACATATTCTATGAGTTTGTGAATTACCTTGTCATTCTCTTAATGTGTTTTGCAGAGGAAGAGTTTTTAATTTTGATTAAGTCCAGTTCATCATCTTTTTTATAGATTATATTTTTCATATTATACCTAAAAACTCATCACCAGTCTCAAGGTCATGCAGATTTTATTCTAGGCATTTTATAGTTTTATGTTTACACATAGGTTTATGATCCATTTGAGTTAAGGTTTGTACAACTTGTGAGATAGATGTTGAGATTTATTTTTCTGCATATGGATATCCAGTTGTTTCAACATTTGTTTAAAAGACTATCTTTCTCCATTGAGTTTCGTTTATCCACTTGTAAAATATAAATGACCCTATTTGTATGGGTCTATTTCTGGCTTTGCTTTTCTGTGCTATTGATCTATCTGTCTCTCCTAACATCAATACTACACTGCTTGATTACTCTAGCTTTATAGCCTTGAGATCAGGTTGTGTTAGTCTTCCAGCTTTGTTACTCTTTTTCAGAATTGTTTTAGCTAATCTAATTCCTTTGTCTCTTCCTGTGAACTTTCAAATCAGCTTGTCTGTATCTACAAAAAAATCTTGCTGGCATTTTGATTGAGATTACAATCAACATATAAATTAAATTTGTGAGAGAACATCTTAAAAATATTCAGTCTTCCAGTTGATGAAAATTATATTTCTTGATTTATTTAGACAGCCTTTGATTTCTTTCATCAGTGTTTTTCTTCTTTTTCAACCTACATGCCATTTATCTTTTTTAACCTTAATGATTAGGACTTCTAGTCAATGTTGAATGGGGAGTGGTGAGGGATGATATCCTTGCCTTTTTCCTGATTTGGGGAGAAAGCGTTTGGTCCTCCACTGTTAACTATTATATTAGAGGCAGGGTTTATTTTTAATTTTTTAAGTTCTGGGATACATGTGCAGGATGTGCAGGTTTGTTACATAGGCAAATGTGTGCCGTGGTGGTTTGCTGCACCTATCAACCTATCACCTAGGAATTAAGCCCAGCATGCACTGTGTAGTATTTTACGGTGCATGTGTACCACATTTTCTTTATCCAGTTTACTGTTGATGGGCATTCAGGTTGATTTCCATGTCTTTGCTTTGTGAAAAGTGTTGCAGTGAACATATGCATGCATGTGTGTTTATGGTGGAGCAATTTATATTCTTTTGGGTATATACCCAGTAATGGGATTGCTGGGTCGAATGGTAGTTCTATTTCAGGTTCTTTGAGGATTGCCATACTACTTTAAATGAACAGGTTTACAGTACCACTGGCAGTGTATGTGCATTCACTATTTTCTGCAGCCTCACCAGAATCTGTTATTTTTTGACTTTTTAATAGTAGCCATTCTGACTGATACAAGGTGGTATCTCATTGCGGTTTTGATTTGCATTTCTCTAATGATTAGTAATATTGAGCATATTTTCATATGCTTTTTGGCCACAGCATATGTCTTCTTTTGAAAAGTGTTCATGTCCTTTACTCACTTTACTTATTTATTTATTTATTTATTTTAGACAGAGTGTTGCTCTTTCACCAGGCTGGAGTGCAGTGGCGTGATCTCAGCTCACTGCAACCTCTGCCTCCTGGGTTCAAGCAATTCTCCTGCCTCAGCCTCCCAAGTAGCTGGGATTATGGGCATCCACCAACATACCCAGCTGCTTTTTGTATTTTTAGTGGAGACGAGATTTCACCATTTTGATCAGGATGGTCTCAATCTCTTGACCTCATGATCCACCCACCTCAGCCTCCCAAAGTGCTGGGATTATAGGCGTGAGCCACTGCGCCCAGCCTTTGTTCACTTTTTAATGAGGCCATTTATTTTTTGCTTGTAAATTTAAGTTCCTTGTAGATTGTGGATTTTAAACCTTTGTCAGATACATAGTTTGCAAATATTTTCTCCCATTATGTAGGTTGCCTGTTTACTCTGTTGATAATTTCTTTTGCTGTGCAGAAGCTCTTTAGTTTAATTAGGTCCCCTTTGTCAATTTTTGTTTTTGTTGCAATTGCTTTTGGTGTCTTCGTCATGAAATCTTTGTCAGGGACCATGTCCAGAATGGTATTTCCTAGTTTATCTTCTGAGGGTTTTTATAGTTTTATGCTTTACATCAAGTCTTTAATCCATTTTGAGTTGATTTTTTATATGGCATAATGAAGGAGTCCAGTTTCAGTCTTCTGCATATGGCTAGCCAGTTTTCCCAGCACCATTTATTGAACAGGGAGTTCTTTCCCCCTTGCTTGCTTTTGTCAGCTTTGTCAGAGATCAGATGGCTGCAGGTGTGCAACATTATTTCTGGGCTCTCTATTCTGTTCTATTGCTCTACATGTCTGTTTTTATGCCAGTACCATGGTGTTTTGGTTACTGTAACCTTCAGCTTTGTTCTTTTGGCTTAGGTTTACCTATTTGGGCTCATTTTTGTTCCATATGAAATTTAAAATAGCTTTCTTTAATTCTGTGAAGAATGTCTTTGGTAGTTTGATGGGAGTAGCCTTGAATCTGTAAATTGTTTTGACAGTGTGACTATTTTAACAATATTGATTCTTCCAATCCGTGAGCCTGGAATGTTTTTCCATTTGTTTGTGTCATCTCTGATTTCCTTGAGCAGTGTTTTGTATTAATAATTCTCATTGTAGAGATTCACCTCCCTGGTTGGTTGTGGTCATTATTATTTTATTTTTGTGGCAATTGTAAATGGGATTACATTCCTGATTTGGCTGTCAGTTTGGATGTTGTTTCTGTATAAAAATGCTAGTGATTTTTGTACATTGATTTTGTATCCTGAAACTTTGCTGAAGTTGTTTATCAGATCAAGGAGCTTTTGTGCAGACTATGGGATTGTCTAGATACAGAATCATCTTGTCTGCAAACAGGTATAGTTTGTTTGCTTCCTCTTTTCCTATTTGGATGCCTTTTATTTCTTTCTGTTGCCTGGTTGCTCTGGCCAGGACTTTCAGGACTATGTTGAATAGGAGTGGTAATAAAGGGTATGTTTAAATCCCTTATGTATTCTGATTA